CATCCTTGGCAATGGTTGATGTTGACAAACGTTGAATGAGCTTGATGCGTAATAAGTGAGGATCCATTTTTCCAACTTTTCTCGGTTTTCGTGGGTGAGTGGAAAAGGTGCCGAGGTTGGGATTGGCGGAGGTGGTTCTCGTATAGGGCATCCGCAAGGAGCGACCATGTCCGATCCGGTGTGTATAGGAGACGAAGTTGTTTTAGACCTGTAACTCTCTTTATGTTCGCCAATTGTTGGGAAGGATCGAGATATGAGGCCGAGTGCTTTACAAGCCTGTTGAGATAGGTAGAGCCTATTCGTTGAGTCAGTGAAGTATACCAATTGGCGTGTTTCAATTATCGACGCGCTTGAAGGAGCTGATATTCTCAGCGAAAGTGCGCCTATGATCTGAATACGACGGCAGTCAGCTGCACTCATCTGCAATTTTACTGGGTTCAGATGCTGTGGGCCAAGACCCAGCTTTTCCAGTAGATTGATGCCAGCGAGGCATGACTGGCAGCCAGTGTCAGCTATGGCAGGGAATGTGACAGAACGTGTTGGGTTTGAAATTTGAGGGCTTGAGCCAATGAGACGAGTATCAGATGGGTCATGGAGGATTGAGACATTAACACTTGGCTGTGGGTCAGAGGCTCTTCTTTCCCAGATATCACACAGTTCGTTATAAATGTGATGGTCAAGTGTGACGCTGCTGGCCTCTGGACTTTGGGAAGAGCTGTCATCTACTGAGCAAAGTGTTGCAAGGATAGAGGCCGCGTCTTCAGTGTTTCCAGAATCATTGTGAGCTTTTCGTTTTGGGGAAGGAAAGACCTTACGATCCCGTTGTCGCAATTTCCATTCAGGTTGGCGGCATAAACTTCCAAAGTGATTTTTGATCCCGCATCTTGAGCATGTTTGGCCATATGCTGGACAAGATTTAATTCGATCTTTGTTGCTTCCATGCTTAGATTTCCCACAGTATTCGCAGGATTCGCGTTTGTCACGAGCCCTATCCCGTTGCTTTCGCTGGTAAGAGCTGTTTATAGCAGCAGAGGTGTCATGTTCGGTGAGGCGATGTGCTGAGCGTTTGCCGCTTTCTTTTGCCTCGATGAATTTGATGGATTCCTCTAAAGTTATTTCCTCGTCGGCCTGTGAGAGGAGATCAAGACGGATGTCGTCATCATAGAGGCCCCAGACAAGTGCGTCACGAATCATGGCGTTACTGTAGTCTACATGTGTTTGGGGGTCACATTGGCATTTAACATGAAAGCGGCAAGTGCTAGCTTGCCCACGCAGTCGTGCCACGAATGCTCGAATAGGCTCGTCTCGATCTTGTTGGAGCTTGTGTAGTTGAAGTCGAGCTACCAAGATGTTCTCCTTTCTGATCGCTAGAGACATTATGTTTTTTAGGATTGTGTTTTCATCTGATGTCGATAAATCATAGTATGTTCGTGTGAGGTCTCGTCGCAAATCTTCAGTACAGCAGTCTAAAAGTTGATAAGTAATATCAGGATCAGTTATTCTTGAAGCACATTTATATTCCTTCCATCTTTGTAAGAAATAAGTCCACTCCTCTGCAGTGCCTCTCGGTGCGATGGTTGGACGTTTTGGTTTTTCTACTCTTACAGTCTGGTTGATAGGAGTAGAGTGTAGGGCTTCCTTGTGGAGCTGAAGTAAGGCTACTGCTGCGTTATAGTCTGCATCATCAGGTGTAGAGTAATCACAACCGGTCCATGGGCATTGTACAGAAGGCATCGTTTGATTATGAGCATAGATAACTATTACTCACACACAAATAGAATCAATAGTCATGGGACATTTACTGTACATTTATTAAACAGTAATGCTCATAATAACTGTAAACAGAAAGAAACGAATGTTAATATATGCATGTAATGGGGATAATTATATAAATACAATTGTACAACACAATATGACAACATGCTAAAGAGAAAAGGATTTTGAATAAACAAAATATGGTACTCCTGGAGTATGTGTACCAGGTTAGGGTTAGGCCATAATTTTATTCTGATTTTCCTTATTTTAGTTCTTTAGCGAGTTCGGGGACCGTCTGTGTTAGCCAATTGAATATCCCCCTGCCCATAGGTTTCAGTCCCTGTACACAACTTGATGTAAAGTAGGCGAACAAAATTAGTTACATCCATATTGGTACACATACTTCTGGTGCGCCCAAAATATTCCTTAGAAAAAAATATATTGAAATTGAGCAGGAAAAATATTGACTTCCAAAGATGTTGATTTCCATAACGAAATCTATTCATTCAAACAAATTGTCTGTGGCTTAATTATGATTTGGTTTTCATTGTCAGATAAGATTTATTATTTATGTAGTTTGAGTATCACAGTTGGTCAGAAACCTACAAAAGAATGAAGCTCTCAGACGCTAGCTTGGAAGAGAAGAAAATAAGTAAGAATACCTAATATATGCCCCACTAAAACATATTAGTCTTGTGGAATACTGGTTGTTAGACAAATTATTCAATTATTCCTATGTGAATGGGTAAAAATCTGCAATTTATATTCCGTTATATATGTTAAAAAACATGACCAGAGGAACACAGATGTAATCAATTTCAGAATAAATCATGAATCAGTTATATAGGCCTCTACAATTCCTGTCACACAAACAAAAAAATTTCCAAACCTTCAAAAAATGTGCTTATAGACTGTTATAGTACTATTTTTCATGCTACAACACAGTCGAAAGTATAATTTTGGAAATACTGTTTAAATTATAACAAAGAAGTTCATTCTTCAAGTTGACAGCAATTAATCCTACTCTATCATTATCACCTGTTCCATGTTTGCAGACAAAATAATTTACTCGATATATCTTTCATGACGTATCACCGATATTTTAAGAAATTGATCAATGACCATTATGTAATCATAATTGAAGTTTTGCTATGACCACAAAACAGGTGTAAGCAGAAATAGATAACTTTATTAATTAAGTCAGGAAATGGCAACTTGAGCTGAATGTGCTTCTAAATGATCTAATTAAAGCCTTGTCATTTTTACTGATATGGTACGCCTCAAAGCTCAAACCTGGGATTTTTAAGGCTTATTCATGCCTTCCCCTACAAATAAAAGTCTTTTACAAGCAAGCAGAGTCAAAAGTTTATTATAATTTGTTTTGTACGTTCTTGCCTTGAACTTGAACTCCACTTAGTGCAAAACATCTAAAATTAATAAGCAGAAAAAAAACAATACATAAATAATGAACCAAGTTTCACTTGCGGTAAACAGTTACATTTTCAGGGTATACACTGAACATATTTACTCAGACTTTGCAATGCGCAAAACATCACAAGACCAGCAGATTACATTTGCTTTGTGCACATGCACAACTGACTGATATACGAGTTCAAAAGACCATTGCAATACTCTGCAGCTGGTTTATTAACGTAACTGGTCTAAAAGCACGAACATAAATGACTGTAAACTTCTCTCCAGAGTCTCCAGGAGAAGTATGTTCAAAAACGATTACAAAGTCGATGCAAAGTACCAATTCTGTCACAAATCTTTACAACATAAAGGGCTGCTCTTGCAAAAACTTTCTCAAGCGATTCTCAGAGTGGTTGGAACAAGACTACATTAGCGAATAAGTTGAACATTTTCGACAATTATTCATTGAAAGGTTCATTGTCTTAAATGAATTCATTACAAATTTTACGCAAACATGATAAAGTAGAAAACCCCGTCATAAATCTTCTTCAATAATTAATCCAGACTCATGAAAAAATATTTTTAAAAGCTAATAATGGAGTTCATTCAACTGCAAAATTCCTCCACACTAAAGATCTGGGAGTATACACTCTGCCGAGTTGAAATTTCAAGAAAAAGTTGTAATACAACATAAGATGCATTACATCATAGAACAAGCAAAACTAATTTTCTTGATTGATTTTGTTTCCCATAATCTATTCATACCTGACCTTTGCCTCACCGAATCATTAGCAATTTTAAATATAGTTGCCAAATATTCAATCTCAGTGACCCATGGTTTGTCTTCCTTCCACACCTAAATACTATTTTTTTTTCGGTACTCTCGTAGTATGTGAACCAAGATGGCGAACACCGGAACGTAGTATGTGTACCAGGTTAGGGTTAGGCCATAATTTCAGGTACAAATACTAAGAGAGTCACTTGACTAATCCCCGAACTCGTAATAGAACTAAATATAGAAAACTGGTATAGAATTATGGCCTAACTCTAACCTGGTACACATACTATGTTCAGGTGTCCGCCATCTTGATTCACATACTACGGTCTACGGCGACGCTTTTTTTCTTATAATTCCCTACATCAGTACAATTTTGAGCTTGAAAAAATAAACCTAACCATAAGACTAGAGCAAAACAATAAATCTTAACACCATTTCAATACCAAATTGCCTGCCAAAAGGTATTCTGGCTCCTGACATAAATACTGCAATGTTGAACATCAACGAGTGCATATTTATATAATACTAATGGAGGCAATAACTCACTCAAATGACCTTTAGTGGGTAAACATATTGGCAGCTGGTTTCCACCCACCAAACAAATATACGAACCCATTCCTGCCTCGCACTGTCCAGTGTGTACTAAATAGCACAAACACAAACACTGCCTTTCGAATATGTGGACTAGTTGTTAAATGTGTACGGAACTAGTTATTTACTGTATTTCATATTTTTTGACACAATAAACTTGGCATGGGGCAAAGTGATGAAAATAGGCATGACCTTCTATTCTACATGGTGAGCTATTCAACTTTGAATATTGAGACTTTGTTACTGAGCACAAAGTTGAGATGTTTTGATGAACATTAACATTGTATCATTCCACATCAATTTTCCAATAGAAAAAACAGCGCACAGGACAAACTTTTCAAATATATTCTTATGAAAACTATACAATTCCTGATATACACAGTTTTACTGGATCTACCCCTCTAGAAAAAAATAAATAAATGATCTGTTTCATCATAAAAATTACTGAAAATCAGACACTTACTGTTTATCCGATTCCCAAATGCATCTTGTATTTCTTCATCTTCTTCATTGTCACAAGGGAAAAGTGTGTTTGGGCGATCTGTGCCCTGATCTTGAACAATTCCAGAATTCAACTATGAAATTTGTGAAGATAAAAAAAAAATAGGTTTTGATTGATATCTGGGGACAAGAAACTTTATAAATTGCGCTTTTGTCTGATCACATTAATCTGAAGTTGGAATGGTTGTTAACACCATCATGGTGCATGAAAAGTCAATCCAATATAATTTTGTAAACGTCAAGTGAAACAAAAAATGACTGAAAATAAAAGCAAAATGTCCAGATGAAGTAGAGGTGAATACAAGAATTGTGAAGTCTGATATATTTCAAATGAAATTTGAATTATAAAGTTTTGGAATGGAGGTGTACAGGGTGTCTATAAAATCCATTCACAATTTCAATTTTGTTATAAAGTCAGTTCTCATGTATCTTAACCCTGTTTGTTTTTAAATCAGTAATTGTTTAAGTATTTTAACGTCATTCAATACATCTGTGAGGGCCAAAACAATATATGGACTTTATGGACACCCTACATATCTCAAAATGCATGCTCAAATGCAAAAAGCTTCCACAGACAGCCCATTCATTATGTTACGGCATTGTAGAAAAAAAGGGTCGAAATTCTTGCCAGTCAAGTCTTCTTCAATTTCGTAATCACAGATTGAGTTATTAAATAATTATCAAACCTGTTCGATTCCATGATAATTGTGGTGTTGTTGCATATCGATATGATTATGTCCATGATTGTCATTCGGTAAATAGCCAGCCATTTTATATCTCTCAGAACATGAATCTTTTGTAAATGTTGTATCTTATTACTTTAAATTTCTAAATTTTTTTTTTTTTTACATGTTCTATGAATATGAAAATTCCAATTACAAAAAAAACTATTTCAAAAACAAGTGAAATTCTGTGGTGTCATGCCAAGTCCCAACATAGGCAGTTACTTATTAATAAGTACTTTATAGATTGCAATATTCCTGTTCGTTTGCATATTTGCTTAATAATACAAATATATAACGAAAAAGTTTTTGGCATGACAATTGCTGATCTAAAATCATACATCAAATCTCTCAAACTGAATAGTCAACTACATATACCCTGCTGAAAGTACAGTTTAGATGGTTCTGAATGAATAACACGCCAATAATATTTCAGCATATTATGATTGTATTTTGAAGAAGAAGTATTAATTTTGAAGATTGTTCAAACTCTGAATATTGTCCAACGCTTTCAATTTAGTCAAATATTTGAATGATATCCATCTGAGTGGGCCAGTTACACATACTAGACTTGATTACTAGTCCGGAGTCTCAGAACTCAATATGAAAAACTCTGAATGAAAAACAGTTTATTTACAAATGTTAATCCAACAGCTAGACCAGGGGTTACCAAGCTTTTTTCAGGACGACCCCAAATACATCTATCAAGTTTCCAGTGCGACCCCTGGTCAATATTTATATTTTTCAAGAAACTTTAGAGCTTCTTTCACTGGACTTTTGAGTTTGGTCATGTGGTGGTATTAAGTAAAATAAGCTAAAACCAAACAAGCGCCTACATTTTCTATAGAATAAGCATAGAGCGATGCCTATGTTCCTGTTTTACAGTAAGCCACAAACTGCTAAATTTAACTTGGTTTGTCAAATCTTAGATGTTTTGTACATCCATCCTCTACCATACCTCAGCGACCCCACGACCTGTTTGCGACCCTACCTACTTATCACTCCGACCCAATTCGGGGTCACGACCCCTGGTTTGAGAACCCCTGAGCTAGACCAACATTTATATAACAATAAGAAACATAGTGTAACAATCGGGGTCATTATGACGTTATTTTCTTCGATATTTTCAACGGAAATTTAAATCTATAAAACTGTAGTCTTAATTTCAGCAGACTTATGTAGACCGGATAAAAAACTATTGTGAGCCGGATCCAGCCCGCGGGTCATAATTTGCCCGCCCCACCCCTGTCCTAATATCTTGTCAGTCTCTATCATGCCACTCTCAAACATTTATTGAAAGCTAATGATTTTTAATCATTAGACTTTTTCATACACTTCAACCATCCATTTAGTACCATCAACTTCTGTTTGTTCTTCCCCTGGAATATCTTCATTGTTTTCAATTATTTTTTTGAACCCATCAAGTTTTGGTAAGAAGACGTCACATTCATAATCAGCGAGAACTCTTGTTAAGATAACTTTACCACAAACTGAAGACTCAAATAGTTGCTTGTAAATTTCCGCGCCTCCGATACAAAATACTTCATGAATTTTTGACGACCATTCGTCAGACGTGATCAGTTTTAAAAAATCTTCTAAAGATTTTGACACTCCGTCCATTTTTTCCGCTTGTTCAGATACAGTTCGAGACAAGACAAAATTGTAACGCCCCGGTAATGCTCCCGGTAAAGATTGCCATGTTTTTCGCCCCATTACAATCACATTTTGTTTTCCTTCGGGTGGGTCTCCCTTTGTAATTTTTCGAAAATGTTTCATTTCTTTTTTTAATCTCCATGGTAAGGTACCTTTATAGCCAATACCTTCATTTTTGCAACAAGCGACAATGCTGTGAATCTTCAGTGACATTATAATAGAAAGTATTGGTAAAATTAACTAAAAATTCTGTATAATAAGAAAGTGAATTTCAGTTAGATGAACACAACAAGTCAAAGCAATTATTTCTGAGTGAAAATTAAGCAAACAAATCATAGAAATACAACAGGCACATTCTGAAACATTGCAATTCTACAAATCTGAATGAGGACGAACAAACTTGTAATTCCAACAGAAAATAACATTCGTAATTTAGATTCTAAAATGCAAAGGAAAGACTACATAATGACCTACAAAGCACACTAGGCCTTCGATAAGCATTGTGAGAATATATATTACAGTCAAATAAAAGAAATAACAGAATAATTTCATTAATATTGACATTTTGTCTACAGTTTTAATTTTATATTTCTGGATGAGGATCACTTTCTCTAAAAATAAACAGGAACTATAATTCATTGGAGTGGAACATTAAAATGAATAAAGAATTTGTGAGCAATTTAGATAAAGGGTCTAGTCTACATTAAGATGATTTGATCTCATTTCAGCACTTCAAGGAAAGAAGGATAGTACAAATTACAGGAATCACTGAGGCATGATTGGACAGAACAATCTCATTTTAACAAGATAGTATCCATGCCGCAATTTTTTATCCATTCAACGGTAGTATCAATGTTGGATTGGATCAATATTATAAGTGTTAATTGTACAGAAGTAGGCCAGACCCTTTACCAACCAGCACTGAGTACAGTCAAGTAAAATCATTTTTGAAAATTTTTTACCAGGAAAAAATAGCCAACCGCATGAATGAAAAACTATGAAGTTTTAGAATTGAAACTAAAATTAACAGTGTATAATAATTTGAGTGATGCAAAAATAACATTATAGTAAAAAGCGGGAATTCATTAATGCAGTCAAGTACCATCTTAATTTTACAATGTTGAATATAATGTTTCTCAACTGATCAGTCAGTCAATTACTTTGAGTCATAGAAGGATTTAGTTCTACTATTTCTGTGTGATAAATTGGGGAAAAAACGGTAATGTCCACATTTTAAACTTCCTTATTCAACAATGCTTACTAATACCAACAATTCTAAAATTCTATATAATTGAAATGAATCATTTCGAAATTACATAGAAAAGCAACGTTGACAACAAAAATTATTCTTTGAGTAACATTCAATTAAGTGAACTTGATAGTGTGCCAAGCAGAAATGAACCAAATACTACAAACATATCCTAAATGATCCCAAAATTCAAATCAGTATATACGGTTTCAATATCAGTACCATCACATTGCATATTTTTGAGTCCACTGTCTGGCCGTTTCATTATACTTGCACATGTCAGTCTTATATGTTCTGGCGATATCCGGTGATAGAGGATCATCAGGATTTGGATCAGTGAGTAGGGAGCATATTGATAGCAATACTTTACTAATGGTTAATGCAGGTGACCACTGTGACCTTAGTATGTCTAAGCAGATACTACCATTGGTATTAATATTTGGATGATAAATACGAGTTGAAAATGCAATCTTGGGGGGTTTAAATGGATAATCAGTAGGAAAATGAATTGATAGGAAAAACACTCCCCCTTTATACGGACTATCTTGCGGTCCCATTATTGTCGCTTGCCAATGAAATAAATCATCTCCAACTGGTCCGGCACTGCATTGCGCAGGTGGATCCCTTCCTATATCTTGTAGTTCTTTAGTTATTCTTTTCAGAGCCATCTTGTATTTGACAGTCGTTGGTTTATTTAACAGTATAACAAGCAATTGGAATTCTCTAAATTTCATGCAAAATAGATAACATCATTGAGTCTTGTATATTTCAGTACTAACTCGACTCCTCCATTAAAAGTAAGGCATTGTTCTCCGATTCTAAGATATCCCGATATTAAGTTCAATAAAAACACTCTTTTGTCTCTGAAACAAGTCAGTCTGGCAGGAACGTCGACAGATGTGTCAGTTTGTGCCATGCCTGTCTCGACAATAATTTAAATCAATCATGACATGCGCCGGCCGTGACATCATCAAAATTGTAATTTTTTTTTGGTAAAAACTGTCAAATTATTTCCGAGGAATCCAATGGTGAGGTTCCTTTTAGTTTATTGCGCAGTGCCGATTTGCCAATATGGAGACTCAAACTGTTTCGTATAAAAGAGGTTTGCACTCATTGTCATGATTGATGTTATTTTGAGTAGGGGCTATTTTTGGAATCGAAGCACAGGAATTATTGAAGAAAGTTTGATACGAATATTCTTATACTATAGAACAATTGTTGATCTTGCTATTTCTTACTTTCTGCACTAGGTTAAGACCAAATTTTACTTCAATAAATAAATGCACAATAATCCCCCCCGAATCTGACAATTGCTACACTTCGAATGATCACACTTTTGATGATGGTACGAAATATTTAATTTTGAAATTAATTGAAACCCAATAATTTTAAATCCATTATAACAAATTACATGAATTTTTTAAATTGACTTCTATTATCATTATGACAGTCAAAAATTTAAATATCATAACAAAAAATGAATGTCAGCATATCGGAAAAAAATAAATAATGTAATATTGGTCGATTTTAGAGATTGAAAGTCGGTTCAACTTCTGTCGAGTCTCACTTCTGTACTTCGCTAACTAAATAAATCAGTCGAAAACTCATGTTGTGCAATAAAATAACAGCCTCAAAGATAGACCTCCACTTTAAACTTTGATTGATTCAGAAGCCGTTTTAAACCTCATTCAACAGTTTAGGGTTTTGTTAGGATAGGATTCACATATTCATCCCGGGGGAGAGGAAAACCGATAAGATGGCTCAACCATATGGCAAACCACGGCCTCTCGTCTGGTTACCGGTAGTTATTTGTTTCCGGAAGCATGGATTTGATGGTGGAGGAAGCCGTAACCGTCCAGCGGTTACGTGAACCACCCTACGGCGGCGTAGAGTCCAGCAATCTTCTCGCACATAACCATCTCCGCATGGGATTCGAACCCAAGCAGAGTAATCAGAAGTGCGGTGGCGAGCGTATTCCTAACGCTTAGCACGATGAGCCACACCACACCTTTTTATCAATCATTTTATCTTATCGCTTTTTATGCTGATTATGGAGTCGAAATAAACTTATCTTATCAGTGAGTAACAACAAAAGTTTCCAAATAAACATCCACTTCTGTACTTGCTACCCTATTTTTCGTCCACTTGTTATTAAAATTGAGGTCAAAATTTCGGGATACAAAAACGAGCCCCTAAGACTTTTTTTGTGACAAATAAATTCCTAAAATGAGCCCCTAATATATAGTCTATACCTTAAATTTACCTTAATATAGACTATTAACAATAAAGTTAGACTTTAGATCATAGAACAATGGAAACTGAGGTCTTCAGGGTCAAATTCAATATTCAAACATTGGCGTTGCTAAAGCAGTACCGGTACTGGTACCGTAACGCGCTGGTACATATTAACTCAGGAACGGTTTCAGTGTTTCTGCTTTGAGAGACCTATCTCAATTACCAATAACACCGCGATATCTACATCATTTCTCCAGTTTACATTAAATTAGTCCCGACCTGCCCATGGCGATTCAAGGCCAGGCGAAAACAACATAAATATATGCAGTGATGATTGTCGTCACAAGATGTCGTTTGTAATTATTTTCTTCTCGGTCATTGAGTGTCAGCAATGACATGTCATTGTCAAAGCCCATATATACCTAATCATTGCTGTCCGTTTCCTCCACTCTTGACCAAAGACAAATTCTAACTACAGTATGCTTTACCATTGTAAAATTATTCATGCCCCTTTGCGAGTGATTTCGCAATGTGGTTCTTGGAACAGAATTTTCATATTTCTCCCGTGGAAAAAGAAAGTCGATAGATCGGGTTATTCTATACAATAACTACTCCAAATTAACATTTGGTGTACTGTATTCCTTCAAAATACACTTCAATGTGTTGTTCGGTATTCGGGTTAAGTTGGTAGATGTATCAGCACATCTTAAATCTTTTTAGATTCTGCCTACCATTCGCATATTTGTCAGCTATTTTTTTTCAATTTTACTATTGAGACCAGGATAAAACTCTTGGAAAACAAAATGCCCATATTTGCATATGTGCGTTATTCCTTAACAAATCACTAACATACCTGAAACATAAATGAAACTGAACTAATGTTCACCATTATTTACGAAAATTTGTTCGATTAAAGAGGTGTCCGAGCGGCTGTTAAAATGTGATTGTTACGTCATCTGTATAGCCAGTGTTACAAAAGTAGAAAGGAAGTGGTTTCTCGGGGAAACATATATTGCAAAAGATTTGTGTTGGTTGCGGGTTGCATCATAAAACCAATGAATGCCGACATAAATCAGGCAAAGATCAGGATCAGTAATATGCCGTGAGACGAGGCCATGAAAAGCGCTTAGAAAGTGAGTTTCGTAGCGCACATCTAGGGAATATATAAATTCTTTAGTTTTGTATGAGAATGAACATACTGAAAGCATTACAGCTTGTTCCCACCAATGACATTAAACAATGTCATTGTTCCCACTAACGAAAGTGGCGCATTTTACGTAATACATGCTTTAAAAATCGTGCAAAAAAATGGATATTGGGTCATTAGGAAATTCCCCGAAAATAAATATTCATAGGTTTACAACGACACAGCATGAAAAGTTGCTTTCATTTTATAGAAGCCATCAAACGCATCAATTTTATGCGATGAAGTCACAAATTAACACCGTGAGCACAAAAACGCAAGCAAATCGGTTAAAATCCTGAAGCAAAAGTGGGAATTCTCCGGAAAATCAATAACCACAGGTTTACAACATTCTTCCCTGTTTCCACAAACGTGCATTACAATCAATGCGGTGCGGTCAATATTTTCTGAATCAAATATACTGTAGTGTAGCCAAGGGCTACTCAACGATTTTTACCGAAGATCCGCATACAAAACTTCAAAAATATTCGGGTCCGACCGGTCTTTCCAAAAATCATATTTCGGCATCATTAAAACGCACTTCCTCGGCCTACTAATGATTATTAGCTAATCAAGATTGTATATTATGGCGTTATAGTCTTTTTGTGATGTCTCGGGTATTACCAAATCACCAGTAGACAGAAATATTACAATTTATCATACGGCAAAGTAATACGTCAGTATAACACAGCTTAACACTAGACCAGGGTGGTTTAAGGTTGTCGGCCTCGTGGGCCACACTATTATTCTCATATTGTTCAGGTAAACAGGTGCAATACAAAAACAAACGCTTTTTATTATTTGTCATTTATCAATCATGCAAAAAAAAACACTAAAACGTGCCAAAAAATTATTTTTATGACGAAACAACACCAAATGTGTTTTTTACTCTCCCGCCAATGCGACGCGGGCAACATAAGACCCGCGGGCCTGGGTTTGGACTTTAGACCACCTTGCACTAGACACTTCAAACACAAGAATGAATAACAAGCACGCCGACTGGTAGAAGCAAGGAGCAATTACGGGAATACAATTATGACAGCATAATCACCAAACTAGTACGTGTTAAAAAACAACAAGCTATGAAGTGAATACACAACACTTTTCATATATATTTGAATCTATAAAATTGATTTCATAAAAGGAAACTTCCTTGGCCGGCTATAGCAAATTAAGATTGTTTATTATGGTGTTATAGTTTTTTTCATATATTTTCGAAACTTTGAGAGTCATTGAGAGAAAACTGGGTCTAATGATCCAAAATAAAGAATTAGATGCGGTCCGAATCGAATACTCAAAAGGTCCGGATTTGGACCGCGGTCCGCCAGTTGAGTAGCCCTGGCCAATATAGTAGTACAAGAGCGCTGTGCTCAAATATATGGACACAAGAAACAGTAATAGCCTTCTGGCAAAAAAATCAATCTTTAACCACTGAATACAGATTTTGATGTATTCGGGTTTAGGTTTAGGTAGATATAATTCCGCATGATAAACTAAAATATTGTACATGATTTTGTAAATATACCGGTAATAGATAGCGCGATAAAACCATGGCAAAAGACGTCGCGGTACGTTCGTAGCAGGAGCTGCTATGAACTGGTAAGAACTGCGCCCCCGAGCGGCTGTTATAAGGTTATTGTTACAACAGGGTGTCATATTACGGAAGTAAATGGGGAAGTTGTTTCTCAGGGAAACATACCGTGTCCGTATATTGCGAAGGATTTGCGTTAGTTGCTGGTTGCAGCATAAACTAGTGAATGCCGACAAAAATCAGGCAAAGATCAGGATCAGTAGTAACGACAATATCCTGCATACCATCTACAAACATCATTTTACAGGGATAGCTAACTATGGCGATGTATAATTTTCTATTGCCAATCCGTATAAATTCAATCCTTTCGTCCACGTATACGGATATCCATTTCCCCGACTTACGGTACGTAATTGTCTTCGGTTCCGCACAATTCCGAAGGTTTGGTTGTTTTATCATGGATGATGTGGGGGTTTGTTATTCAATGCATTGGTTGCATTCAGGCGTTATTAGGCTGGTAAAGTTGTAGCGGATACACGGTAATGGCGCGGCAGTGATAAACAACCTATACCGGTAAGTTATGAAGGGTGTAGATTGTATATTGTGAAGATTGCACCTTTATACCATATACGTTTTTAAATACCTTATAGTACTACCGCATGGGATGGATAGGCCAATTGTTTAGTCCGACTCCATATGTCAGCATGTAGATGACAAGCTGGTAGTGGAAACTTTCAGAATTTAAAACAGCAGCAAGCTTCCTGTTATTGCTTATAAAATATGATGTTCCCAGGTTGTGCAGTATTGCCAAAGCATTACAGCATTAGCTCAGTCATTATATTATCATCCCTTCAAACCGGTGATTTAGAAGTTGAGCTGGTGATTCTCTCCCCAAAATATGTTTATATGTGGCAATGATCTTGTTGTAAAGATTTTGGTTACTTTTATTTTCACTTTAACAAAAAAATTTAATCACTCTAGAAATAAATTAATATATCATCAAAGCAATCTTTTCATGCATATTTGGAAATACAGATTAGTTCATCAAATCTTTTCATTCTGTTTTTGAGTAAAGATGTGATCTTCGTGCAATACTTTTACAGAATGTTATAAATATGAAGGTTTGTATTTTCACACTCTTGTTGATTTTTTCTGAAAATATTTTGGCAAATTCTGAAGAAGGTCGATATCTTTTATACGACTGCAATCCTGGAGAAGGCTTCAATTTAAGAAGAGATGTATTTATCAGAATTGTCAACTTGGTTAAATATTTGAACACGAAAGAAAAATGGACTTTAGTTCTACCACCTTGGGGAGGAATTGGCTACCATTGGAAAGAGAGAAACATGGAACAAAGTAAAATACCATGGTCAAAATTCTTCGACGTTGAAAGTTTAAACAAACACGTGAATGTTATGGAATATGAGGATTATGTTGAAAAAATAGGAGAAGCTGTCATTGATGAAATATGGTATCTTCAAACATATGCTGAGGGTATTGATTTTAATAATTGGGTTGATAAAACTGATGAAAGACCATGTATTGATACTCCTGTTTATGAGTCTGATGATAACGGAAAAATTAGAGGCTGGTTTTGGGGGTATGAGGAGACATATGCAAAGAAATTCAAATGTGTTTCAGCACTTGGTAACGCTCGCATTTTATCGGAACCTCTTCTTGGCAAAAACACAACTGCAAAATCTGTGATGATTGATCGAGGAGAAAATGTTTTACACGATACTTATGGTGGAAAAGACTATTGGGATGCTAGAAGAAGCATGGTGTTTTCTCGAGAGTTGCGGAACTTCGCTGCTGACTTTCGAAAAAAGTTTCTTGATTCTGATGATGAAAAAGATAAAACTAAACTCCCAGATAACTGGAAAGATAATAAAAGAGAAGATAATTCTGCTGTAGGTGGGCCTTACATTGCCGCTCATGTTCGACGAAAAGATTTTCTACGTGCAAGAAAAGAACATGTTCCAAGTATAAAGAAAGTTGCAGAAAAGTTATCTAGCGTCATGAAAGAATATAAAGTTGATAAAATTTTCATCGCCTCTGATGGTACGGAGAAAGAGATGACAGAACTCGAAAAACTATTGCCAAATATGGTTAGGTACATCCCAACATCTGAAGAAGATAAGAAATACAAAAAGGGCGGGATTGCTATTATTGATCAAATCATTTGCTCTCATGCTCGATATTTTATTGGAAGTTATGAATCGACTTTTACATTCCGCATAACCGAAGAAAGAGAAATTATGGGATTTTCAAAAGAAACGACTTACAATAGATTTTGTGGCGATGATGAAAAAGATTGCCAACAACTTACAAAATGGAGGATTTCTTGGAATAGTGACAAAGAAATATGGCAGTGATTTTAGACTCGAAAACGACTATGGATTTGTAAAATTTATCTTTGTTCAAATCATATGCCTCTAACACCTTTAGTTTATGTATCTGCTTATTAAAACTGGGGTGCTGCCTTTTTGTAATGTTTCCCTTTTTTAATGTTCATCATTGAGTCACTTTCTTATATATTATGTTGTATGGAATTCTATTTCATTACACAGACATCTATACCATCCTCACACTTTGAAATCTATTTGTCCTGCCTCAAACTAGGGAAAAGGGTGCTCCAGAAGTGTGTGTACCAATATGAGGATAACTAACTTTGTTCGCCTACTGTACATCAAGTTGTGCATAGGGACTGAAACCTATGGTCGGGGTATATTCATTTGGCTAACACAGACAGTACCCGAACTCGTAATAGAACTAAAATAAGAAAAATAGGAATAAAATCATGGGCTAACCCTAACCTGGTACACACACTACTGGAGTACTAGGAAAAGTTTCATTTCAAGGTCTTTCAACATCAAATTTTCAAAGAACGTCCAAATGAGATTCATATGAACGTTATGGTACTCTTATAATTTTTTGAAATCATATGCAATCAAAGGTTCATCATAAAATACTATAGTATCTGTAGAGTTAAATATCATTGAAGCGTCTAGATTATTTTGTACTGGAATACCACTATTGAATTTTTTGATATTGCAGGATAGTACTGCTTTGATTCATTTCTTGCCTTTTGCTGTTGAGATTACACCTTTTGCATTTACTTGTGTGCTACATTTCAAAATCGGTGGAGATAGTAATCAGTAGGGTGTTCCAAACTAGTTTGTACTTGTCATGATTAATTCTCTCAATCATGCCCAAAGAAAAATAGATAAGATGGGGAGTAGCTTACCTAACTAGTCTAATCGGCATGTTACATCAACAGCTTTATCATGGCTCAATGCCGTCACCATTCTAGTTTAATTCATGAAGCCATAACGGCTCAGTCTCCTGAACCAACCTACATTTTTAGCATGGAAAGTAGGGACAGTCACCATAACGACTCGAAAAATGTGAATCAGAGCAGGTAGCACAACTTTCCCCAATCGTCAAGTCAGTCTAAACCGCAATTACTATAATAACCTTTTGCCCAAAGAAACAAAACTTATGCAAGTGTTATGAGTATTTCTGAGAAAAGCAAAGATGAATGAAATTACATGATACAGATCATTGCACAAGGCAGAAAGAAAGGAACATGGCAGTTTTGATACAAAGAAAGTTCCAGTGAACATAGCAAAGTTGCGATTATGTCTTATCTCTCGATAATTGAATAGTCCCCTCCTAAGAAATATTCAGCAAAGTGCTGAAATAGAGTGATTTAACGATTTGAACCAACATTATTCTTCGAAGTCCACAATCATTTTCTTAAGACATGGTGAAGTTAGGAAATGAGAAATGAAATGTGTGCAGGTGTTAAATGCTGCAAAACTGCACTTAAAAAAAATGTTGAAAATTTGGGCATTCTATGCGCACAACACTGATTTCTCGAATGACGATACAGTGTTGGGTAGAAAGTCCCTAAACCGCGAATCCATAAGAGGTGCGGGTCATCCGTGTCGAATCCTAAGTCCAAGTCAATATTTCTCACTGGCGGTTTAGTTCCGTTCCAGTCATTTATTTATTTGATTGGTTGATGAATGGTAACTCAAGTCCTCAGAAAAACATCACTTTCTCCAAAGTCTTCATCTGACCGTTCAACAGTTTCCTAGAAGAGTGAATGCTATTACATATTGGAATCATTTTCTTAAACATAGTGCTGCTCGGAATGAGAAACGAAATATGTACAGATGTGTTGAAATATAAGGGTCCAACTGGTTTTATATTCATAGTTCATCATCAGATTGAAATGAGAGAGCAAGAGACATTTTGTCATTTTCCCCATCGTCTTCGTCTGGCGATTCAACAGTTTCCTGGAATTCAGAGTTAGAATGTTATTTTGTATCTGATATTCTTAAGTATCCAGGAGGAAGGGAGGTCAATATAATGTCTCAATTATTTGTCTAACCAAAATGTTGATACGGATAGCAGACTCCCGATTTCTTTTCCCGGGCTGGGAAAAATGTAGACTCAGACACGAGCTCTGATGAAGTCAAATTTTAAAAACAAACTTTTGTATGTGCAGGCCTTCTTTGATAGACTGTTAAGAACACTTAGTAAACTTAAGTTTCTTGGAAAATTCTGACTTATTTTATCACCATTGAAGAATGTCTGGAATCCAACTCAGAATTTCCACTTCATGACTTCAGATAGAATTTACCTATTTATTCCGCGGGGAGAGGAAAGTCAATAAGATGGCTTAATCATATTGCGAACCACGGTCTCTCGTTCAGTTACAAGTACAAGTCGGGTATGCAATTAGTTAGCCAGTTATTTGTCTTTAGAAGCATGGACTTAATGGCGAAGGAAGCCTTAACACGTGAACCACCTTACGACTTCGAGGAATCCAACAATCCTCTCACCCAAACCATCCTCGCATGTGATTCAAATAGAGGTGTGATGGCTCGGGGTTAAAATTCCAAGCTCACATCACCTGATTTATACATACCCTATATTCCTTTGATTCATCCACACTTTCATCTGATTCAATGAGGTTTCTCTGTGGTAAAGCTGTTGATCGACGTTTCAATTTTGCTTTCCTGCTTTTTGAACTATTCCGAGGTGAATCTTGACAAGATATGACAAAATAATGACTTATGGAGTCATATATACAAAAATATCATGCATTCGCACTCGCGAAAGTCTGTATAAAAACTGTTCAAATATCGTACTTTTTATTTGAAATAAATCTAATACCTGTAACTCACTAATTTTTGAAATAACGTTTGATGCAATAACCCTTTATATAGAATAAAATGAAAGATTTCTATGTGGTGCTTCTGACATGGAAGGATTCTTAACAATTTATTATATCAAATTTTTATACCATTCGATTATTTGATTCATAAATACTATAGGATTCCTTGAATCAGAATATAAAATATAATAAAACTAACCAAAATCATCAATCACTTCCTCCTGCACAAAAGAAGCAAGAGAATCCTGCCTCCTATCATTCTCTTCTTCTTCATCATCAATAAAGTCGTTCATGTCCGTAAAACTATCTTCATCCCCGCTCCTGTCCTCGCTTGAAATAGTCTCACCCTCTGGTGGTTCTGATTCTCCAGAGTCTGATATTAATCTGGCTCTGTTTTTTTTGGTTGGTCTATGTTGGTCACATAAAAAGTAGGGATGAAAATTTAACCTATACCGAAACTATTTGCACTAAACCAATGACATTGTAAAATTGTAAAGTTCTACCTTTTTAAAACAGTATTCAGTAGTATTATTTCCTAGTTATTCTGTGGTGGGGAAAAGTCGATAAAACGGTTTCAATATGTGCCAACGGTACCACGTTTGGTTACCGGTTCATGTCAAGTATGAAAACAGTCAACCAGTTATTTGTTCAGATGCATGGACTTCAAGGTAAAAGAACCGACCACCAGTTATGTAAACCACCTATGACAGCGTGAAGGGGCTAGCAATCACCTCTTACCTAATAATCACCCACAGACTTTGAATTTGCGAACCCGGGCAGGTTAATCATAGGCACAATGGCAACTGTAATATCACAATGCACCTATAAAATAAATATTTCATCCAGCAACACTCACGCAGTGAAAGATTCCTCAACGCTACTAGGAAATGATAATTCGAGGTTATCTTTCTCTGAACTGTTTGATTCTTTTTCAGTCTGTGTCGGGAAAGAAAGTATATATTTTAGTGTTTGACTTATCTAAGATTGATTACACTGTTAATCAGTTAAAAAATATATATTTCTGCCATTCAATTTTCGCTTAAAAAATGCATGTTTAACATTTGTCAATTATTTTTCCTATGCCGAAAAAAAACATTAAACAACCGAATAAAAATTCCAACTTTCTTTATTCTAGAAGTGTGAGTGATCACATTGGGCACTTGGTGCCAAAACCCTCCCACTCACAAAATAGTAGTTACTTGCATATCTTTACCTATTAATGAATATTAGGGGCTCCCGAAGTATGCGAACCAAGATGGCGGACATCGGAATGTAATATGTGTATAGGTTAGGGTTAGGCCATAATTTTAGGTACAAATACTACGGGAGGCTCTTGGCTAGTCTTCGAACTGATAATAGGACTAAAATAAGGAAAATTGGATGATAATACACCTCCGGTATTGCATCTTGTTCATCCATAACCAAATTCGATTCTTCAAGAAAGGATTCTCCAATCTGAAACAAAAAAGTTTATATTATGGAACGAGATCAAAGAAATAGTGTAGCACAAGAAAAGATTTTAAATAAAAACAAAAAATAACCAAAAAACATTACTGTATTTGTAATAGTATCTAACACAATCCTGTACTTGAACAAAATAAGCTAGCTTGTTGAAGTAATCCTATCTATACCCGTAGTAATGGATCACCAGTGTCTCAAGTCAATTCTTAAGTCTTGAAAGGCAATTAGTTAGACAAGTTCAAGTTTCAAGTCCTCCCAATATTGCTACAAGTCAGATTACAGTGTCTGCTTCAACATGACCTTGTTCAGAGCAAACAACATGGAACGCATCAAAAAAATACTATCCTCACCTCCAAGGTTCCTGTTTGGTTGTTACTTTTATCAACTCTCATTGGACTATCGGCTGCCAATATTTCATCTTCAGATATTGCACGATTCATTTGCTGTATGGAAAGTAATCAATCATTTACAATTGAATAATGAAATCCATTCTTTTCAGCTCATAATTTTTCCTATATCTAATTCCCAATAATAGGTCTAAATTTGTATATTTAAATATTTATTTCGAAAATATGAAACGCATTTTAATTCCACTGCTGTGAAATTGCATTTTGACTAGTGTATCCCGGTAGCGCTCAAAATCTTGGGGGCCAAAAACCTTGCCCCCCACTGTACTAGCTTGTTGAAGTAATCCTAATTATACCCGTAGTAATGGGTCACCAGTGACTCAAGTCAATCCTTAAGTCTTGAAAAGCAATTAGTTGACAAGTTTCAACCTACAAGTCCTTACATTGAAAAAACACATCTAAAAAAAATACTATTCTCACCTCCAAGGTTCCTGTTTGGTTGTTACTTTTATCAACTCCCATTGGACTATCGGCTGTCGATATTTCATCTTCAGATATTGCACGATTCATTTGCTGTATTAAAAGTAATCAATCATTACAATTAAATAATAAAATCCATTCTTTTCAGCTCATAATTTTTCCAATATCCAATTCCCAATAATAATTTAAAAGTCTAAATTCGTATTTTGAATATTTAATTCGAAAATATAGAATGCATTTTATTTCCACTGCTGTGAAATTGCATTTTGACTAATGTTTCGCGATAGCGTTCAAAATCTTGGGGGCCAAAAACCTTGCCCACCACTGTGCCAGCTTGTTGAAGTAAATCCCCAAGTCTTGAACAGCAATTAGTTAGACAAGTTCAACTTTCAAGTCCTCCCGATATTGCTACAAGTCAGATTACAGTGTCTGCTTCTACATGACCTTGTTCAGAGCAAACAACATAAAACACATAAAAAAAAATACTATTCTCACCTCAAAGGTTCCGGTTTGGTTGTTACTTTCATCAACTCTCATTGGACAATCGGCTGCCAATATTTCATCTTCAGATATTGCACGATTCATTTGCTGTTTGGAAAGTAATCAATCATTTACAATTAAATAATGAAATCCATTCTTTTCAGCTCATAATTTTTCCTATATCTAATTCCCAATAATAAGTCTAAATTTGTATATTTAAATATTTAAGTCGAAAATATGAAACGCATTTTTAATTCCACTGCTGCAAAATTGACTAGTGTTTCGCCGTAGCGGTCAAAATCTTGGGGGCCAAAAACCTTGCCCACTTAGACCGGCGAGCCATGCAAGTGTGACATAAAAATTTATATTTTATGAACAATATTCACAGTGTTACAAGAGCAAAATTAGAAAACAAGCCTCATGCCGCCAACTAAATTTAATCGCAATCTCAACAAATTCTTTGTGGTATTTTTAGCTAAAATATCAAAATTTGGTTTTAGTTTGTGGCAGCATCAGGCGGGCCAGATTGAATAATCCAACGAGCCGGATTTGGCCCGTGGGCCGTAGTTTGCCCAGTTATAGATAAATGAAAAACAATGAACTCACATCGCCTTCTTCGTCAGAATCAAGGATGTGAATTTGCTTGAAATCTTCAATCTTTGGTTTGATGTCAGATTCATCATCACTCGGTATGGAAATCTAAAAACAAAATTGTGGGTGTCACTTAAAAGTTTTTGGGCCTTATCCCATGCCCCCTAAACTCACCCAAGGTGTAATGAATTGGGTAGGCAATGCTGAATTGGAAGGATTCTGGTCCTTACAAAATGTAGGACAGTAGCCTCTTGTTTATATATATTGCATTCAGTGCTAGAAGGGGTTACTTACCATAGAGAAAGAAGCAGAATAGGAGGAATTCTAATCAGTGTTGGGTACAGGAAATATTTGAAGAGTTATTTGGTCCTGATACATGGAATATTCTAGTTTAGAGGTTTGAAACTTAAATTTGTGTATTTGAGAGTTTAAAGTTGAATTTTAAAATATTGATTCTCGCTTCCTCGAAACTGCCTTTGGGTTGATATTTCATGGTAGCGGTAATAGTAAAAAACCTTACTTTGTAGCCAGAGCTAAGTTTTGAGGTAAAAAATGAAATTTGAGTATACTTGACACCTCCCCAGCCCTAGCAAGGGTACTCCCGTAGTACATGTACCAGATTAAGTTCAGGCCATAATTTTAATCCAATTTTCCCTTTTTTAGTTCTAGTACAAGCTGAGGACTGTCTGTGTCAGCCAAGTGAATATACCCCCTGCCCATAGGTTTCAGTCCCTTTACACAACTTGATGTATAGTAGGCGAACAAAATTAGTTACCTCCATATTGGTACACACACTTCTGGGAGCGTCCTAACAAGAACACAAGTCATAAACTGCTTTGGCTTTTCCTAGTTAATAAATATTATAAACTTAATTGCAATAGAACTGAGCTAACATGCTTACTTTGCTTTTGTTGAATATATTTTCAACCACATCATCTTCAACTTTGAGTGAATCCAATTGATCATAGAGTCCTTCAATCTCGAAATGTGCTGAAATAAAATTGACTGAGGTGATAAGTTTGAAATTAACTGCATATACGTTAATCTGGGACTTTAACCCATGGCCGTGAAGTTAGATTCTGGAGTTTGGCATGCTTCCACTGGCGTCGTTCATCAAACTTTCAAACTACAGGAAGTTTGGAGTCAAATTTTGACTCTCTTGAGGGCGCTCCAGAAGTATGTGTACCAATATGGAGGTAACTAATTTTGTTCGCCTACTTTACATCAAGTTGTGTGAAGGGACTGAAACATATGGGCAGGGGGTTTATTCACTTGTCTAACAGACAGTCCCTAAACTCGTAACAGAACTAAATGAAAAACAGAAAAAAATTATAGCCTAAGCTCAACTCGCACACTATGGGAGTACCCTCCTGATTGGAGTTCCAGACTTATAATGGTGATAAAACCGGGTAATTTTTTTTTCAGAAGCTCAAATAATATTGTTTATTTAAGTTTAACAACGAAGGCTGACATATGCCAAAGTTTATTCTCTGGGTTCGGAATCGGTAGCTGAAATTTTTTAGAACCAAATTTTGCTTAACCCAGATTCGGGAGTCGGAGAATTGGAACGCCTTCTAAAATTTTCGAGTGTGTTGTGTAAAACCACAACGGCACATTAAATTTGACAGAAGTAACTTTGCTAATCTGATTGGCTGTCCCACAGGAGACTCCCATGAAATCAAAAGTAAAAAATCCAAAAGTGCAAATATGTGGAAAACTCACAATTCAAAAATACAATTTTTGTGACAAAAATCAAAATCATCAAAATGTGTAAATAAGCATAGAAAAATCCAAAAATATTTTGTGCTTTCAAACTTGGTGTGAATGGAGTTAAATGAGATGAGTACAAAGTACGTGATAAAATGTGTTTTATTTTCATATTACGTTCTTTTTCTTTGTGTTTCTGAGGTTTTTCAATCACAGAAGAATCACTGTCTGATACTAAAATAATTGGAAGGATGAAATGAAACACGAATACATAAAGAGTATGGTTGGAGTAAAATGTAACTTCAAAAAAAAAATGGAATACACTGCAGTTTTTCTTTAATTTACATTTCCATTTACTATGAAAGGTGTAATGCAGGGTAGGCGATGTGCAATTGAAAAATTATTATAACATTATAAAGAACAGGGGTTGGGCCAAGGGCTCGAAATCTTACCTACCTTGATTGGCGGGCCATGTAAGTGTGACGTCACAAGTTACATTTTATTAACAATGTTTACAGTGTTACAAAAATAAAAGTGGAAAACAACGAGCCTTGTGCTAATTAATCACGATCTCAACATATTCTTGGGCTATTTTTTTTATCTAAAACATCAAAATTTGGTTTTAGTTTGGTTGTGGTAGCATCAGATGGGCTTGATTAAACTACCCAACGGGCCGGATTTCGCCCGCGGGCCGCAGTTCGCCCATGTCTGCTATAGAAGTACAATTTTAAGCTGAAATTTTGTTATTTTTATGTTTTATGAAGTATTAGAAAATTATAAATATGAAATTTCTGGTAGTTCAGGCTCCAGTTCCATCGATTATGGTAAGTTCCACTCCGGTCTCTCCAACCCTGTGAGCAAAAACAAATTTTTCAAACTTACGTTCAGTTTCTTTAGTTTTTGGTTCATACGGTTTCGTTTCAACATGAAAATCTCCCCATCTTTGCTCAGGAACTTCTGATCCAGTAAATCCTTGGGCTTCAAGTTCAACCCTGTTTTGAGCTTCAGCGACCTGTTCAATAGAAGAAGAATCATAAAAAGAATTTCATCATTTTTTATGAAGTTTGCTTAAATGCACTCGCTCAGAAATGAAGGATATTGATCTGAGATAAGTAATAAGTATTTTATAGTTCATAAAGTCAAACAATTTTTTTGAATATTCGAATAGTTCTTCATAGTTTCTGAAAAAAGCATAGAAACAGCTAAGGATGTCAATTATGGCTGTGGATTGGAAAATAATTTTACCATTCGCTAAAAAAACTTTGAGGTTGTAAAAACTTCAGCCCTGAATTATGAAAAAACGAATTTTAATTTATAAAAACTTTAGTCTATGCGAGTGTTCTTTAAAAGATTATATGAAACGCTTAGCAAACTTGAAAGATTTTTGATTTTTTGCCAAAAAAATTTTTCCTCTATTTATCACCGTTAGGAGTCTGTCCAACTCTCATTGAGTCTCACTTATTCAGATTTTTTACTAAGACTGCAGAAAGTTCAAAAATACGAATCTGGCTTGAACTACACTGCCTTTGTTTCAATGTCGGCTAATAAGATTATTATAAAAATAAGGAAAATGTTCAGTGAAAAGAAAATTCATAAAATACAGAAACTATTGCCGGTAGTCTACTCCCGTAGCGTGTGTACCAGGTTAGAGCCAGGCCATAATTTTATTCAGATTTTCCTTATTTTAGTTCTCTTAGAGGAGTTCGGGGACTGCTTGTCTGTGTTAGCCAAGTAAATAGCCTTTATCCCTTTCCCATAGGTTTCAGTCCCTTTACACAACTTGATGTGAAGTAGACGAACAAAATTAGTAACCACCATATTGGCACACACATTTCTGGTTTGCCCTGTTACCTTGGTTCTGATAACATCTCCATGTTCTTCCATAACATCACCGTCAACATCATCAGGATCTTGTGAAAACATCAGATCATGATCACTCACTCCAAATATTGCTAAAACGAGATTTTAAATAACTTTGAAGGAGTTAATATCATCATAGTATACTTCGGCGCTCAAGTTATGCTTGACATTTTATCTTTGATTACCCTGAGTGGATTCGCAGTCATGAATCTTGTAGGAGACAATTATGTGAGAGATGATTGCTGGACTTCTAACCATCATAGCTAAGGTGATAATTGCTGGTTAGTTGAGGCCCTTTCCACGATCAATTCCATACATCTGAAAACTAGTTTACTATTCCACAACCTGCAACTACTGCTGTAATTCAATGCCTGGCGAAAGATCCATCGAGCAACTCTAGCTTTTATCTGGATTGAATATCTAATGGGTTTAACTTTTTCACAAGTAGAATTTCCTAGTACCATCTTAACACTTACGTAATGTATGAAGATAGGCCAGGTGTTCCTCCAATATCGGATCCAAACATCTTTGTTGTTGATGTAGATCTTCAAGTTGACGTTGTGTGACAGATTCTGTCGTACTTTCAAGTTGAAATAATTCTTTCAGCTCATGGTTCGTGAAATATCTAGAAGTAGACAACTCGAGTTTACCAACCTGCCATGTAAATATGCCAGTGTTCGGGAGGCCCGACTGGAGCTGAGCTCACGCTACCCCTAAATAATATGACTCAGATCTCATGCGCAACAAACCGCCAATGAGACTATAGATTTAGGGAATTTTACTAAACCCTGGTCTAGCTTGACCAAATGTCTCAGCAATGCCTAACATATAACTTGACTGAATGTGTCACATTCGAATTGCAGTTGGTACTACTCCATTTCCTACAGACTAGTGTGGTGACCGAAGGAGAGACCGTAGTTCTTAATAAGATAAAGTCATCTTATTAACGGCGTTCCTCTCCTCCATGCTAAAAATGAATATGCTATAATATATGAGAAAAATCAAACCTGTAAGGATCTTTATTATCACCAGTACTTTGCTTAATAATTGAATCTTTGAAGATTTGCCTTCGATAAATTTTCTCTTCCACTGTTCCACATGTTATAAGACGGTAGACAACAACATTTCTGAATATAAAAATTTTATCTAATATAAGAAGTCTGAGTAACATTCACATAGGTCCCCTTAATTCTAATCTAAGATTAAATTGAAGAATCTAATAGAAATGCATGTTGTTTGAAGAGTATGCACATAGGTTAAAACAAGTTTATTTTTTCCAACCAGTAGAAAAGATTGAATACAAATAACAAAAAAATGATAATCTCCAATTTTGAAGGATAAGGGAATCAGCGCCAAACCATTGCTCGTTATCGAGCAGTGACACCCGAGGTTCTAATATCTGATTAAAAATATCAGAAATTTCAGTTTTTGAGTGCTAAGCATTAAGAATGTGCTTGCCATCGCACCTAGAGACCACCTTGCACAGTTTTCTTTGGATCTTGTAGCGAATAATTATGTGAGATAGGATCCCTGGATTCTTATTGTTGTAGGTAGGTCTGAGCAGAGGTAGCTCCCTCTAAGCATCAAATTTGAGATAGGACCTAGAACGGGGATGGCGAACCACTGACCCGTGGGTCACAAAGTGACACACCTCGTTTTATTCGTGACCCACAGAGGCACGAATGAAATAAAATAAAAATGCTAACATATCAGTGATAAAAATTGATAAAACCGGCTTCAAATTAATCTAGCAATAACTAGACTAGACTATTATAATGTACCGTCAGTTGGGCAGTCAAGGCTGCGATCGCTCATATTCAAATTTATATTTCCGAGCCGGTATGGTAATTTTTTAAAACCTCTAATCTTGGACGCATGTCTGCACCGCTGTTTACCGTAATTCGGCTATTGGCTCTGACATCGTTTATGACATAACAAGGCAATTGATCTGTTCATTTCTCGCAACCTCTTGTCTCTTTCGGAAGAGCATCTGCGGACTGTGTCAGGGGTTATATTTTCGTACTCTAATTTCATAAAATCGAGTGCCATTAAAAGTCCCTAATAGAAGTGATGCATAATCCCAAACCTACACCAACACTAACAGAAGCTTAGATAAGATTTGTTTCAGAAGCTTTTCAGATACAAACATTGATTAAATATCAGTGACCCACTCTCTTCTGATCTGCCATAAAAATATAATTTTTGACCCATTTATCGAAAAAGGTTCGCCATCTCTGACCTAGTATAAGATGGGATTTTCCATAGGGAGAAGAAAGCTGACAAAGCTGATTGAACAAATGATCAGAAAGAGAACCTCGCACGGTTATAAGTCCATGTCAGGTATGATGGTAATCAACTAGTTCCAGATGCATGGACTTGATACTAAGCTCAACGAAATTTTACAATGTAAAAAAATAACAAAAGCACAAACTTTTCTTGTCCAATTCTGTATATTCTATCAACAGCTTGAGCATCAGTAGCAGGGTTCCATGAAGGATCATAAATAACAACACGATCAGCAGCAGTAAGAGTTAAACCAACTCCTCCAACCTGAAAAAAATACCAGGATTCAATTATTTTCAAAGATGGAGTAGAAATTAAGTCAGAAAAGGATTTTCATATTTATTTTGGGGAGAGTGGAGGTGATAAGACGATCGAATAACAATATCATGGCCTGGTTACCAGTCCATGTTAGTTAAGAAAATAGACCATTTATTTGTTTCAGATGAATGGAGTTGACGTAGAGAAGATGTATAGCAAGTTACGTGAACCACCCGACAAAGCAATGAAGTACAGCAAATCTCTCACAGGATTCGAACTTGATCCTCAGTTGCATGGTCCACTGCGATATTCTCACATAACAATATCTCCAACTTAAAATTAATATATGTCAAGAAAAAATACAAAACAATCATTCAAAATGGAAGCGCAAACAAATTTGTTTCCCACTATTTATTATTTGCTAGTTATACAAGCAACTCGCTGTGTTATTTTTGTAGAGTTGGAATAATTCATAATGTGTGCATAATTTCATAAATATGCATCACAATAATACTAAATAAGCAAATGAATTCTGATATTCATATCACAACCAAATACAATAGCAAGCTTCCTCTCTAGTTGGGAAACCCTGAGGTATATTCTGATTTTTATATACACAGACCATCTCTCTTTGTTGCATCCTACCTGTGTTGTGAGCAAGAAAACATCATAGCTTGAATCTTGTTGAAACTTTTTGACTCTCAATTCCCGTTCGCTTAGCTTACTGACTGTTCCATCCAATCTCATGACCTACAAACAGGAGATCAATGCTCAAATACATGGACACAAAAGCCAGATGACTAGTGGGTGCTCCAGAAATATGTGTGGCAATATGGAGGTAAATAATTTTGTTTGCCTATTCTACATCAAGTTGTGTAAAGGAACTGAAAGCTATGGGCAGGGGGTATATTCACTTGGCTAACACAGACAGTCCCAGAACTCGTAATAGGACTAAAATAAGAAAAATCGGGATAAAATTATGGCCTAACGTTAACCGGGTACACACATTACGGGAGTACAGACTAGCACAGTACTGGTAGTCTACAAAAAACTGAAATTTGTTATCTGATCGTTTAAATACTTCAATCAAATTTTCAATTCAAGTCCCATAAACCAAAGCTGTGGAGACAACATGTTTTCACTTATGTCAGGGATTTATTTTCAAACTCGTCGAAATTCAGAGTTGAAAGTGCAGACTTTTAATGGTGATGAACTGATGAAATTGCAAAAAGTTCTCAGGAAGCATTTATTTTACTAAGTGTTCCTCACAGTCTATTACAAAGTATCGAATATATATGCCAAAGTTTTCACTATCATTATTTTAAAGAGTTGTGAGCACAAGTCAAATTTTTAAATTTTAAATTTTTCAGATTCAAAGCCAATCATAAATTTTCACCGAATCGGAGAGGTTGTCACTGAGCAAGTTCAAGACTTACTAACTTTGTATGGAGAAATAAAAACAAATGGAGTTTGTCTTAAAGTTTTGTCATATTTTTAGTAAAATTTGGAATAATAATGATTTATATACAGTTTCACAGCTTTAAATTTGCAATACAGCATACTACTCATTTGGATTAGTCGAAGTTGAAATTAGTTGAGAGATATAATTCTAGATTACCAAAGTACCAGTGATGATCTAACCTTGAATTTGTTGTTCAATAAGATCCTATGAATCATGTTCAACATTTTTCTAGACAATGAAAAGATCAAAGTACGATGACCTTCCTCTCTCAAACGTTTCAACAACTCCAATAAGAATTGAAGTTTACCTGAATCAAAAATGAAACATTGTTAATGAAAAAGTTTGAACGGAACTTATAAAGGAATAGCAGTCAAATAATAAACTCCATGGTCCATTCGCTGAACTTGGTACCATTTAACATCCTAGTAAAGCACCAACTTTCTCGTAAAATGAGAAATTGACATTCTTGAAATATTTTTGTGATATATCTTGAAAAATTTTTAATGCTCAAAGTAACAAATATGAACTTGCCAGATTCCTCAATCAATGTCTGATCAGAAATATTATCAATTCTATTCGCTGCACATTCTTTTCCTTTGTCAGTATGAAAATCATCTTCATGTAGGCTGTATAGTAAACAAGAACTTGTTAAAACAATTCCTAGATTCGCGACATCTATTAAAAGAATTGAAACAATCACAACATTCCAGATCCCAGACAAATGGAATGGAATTCATAGCAATACTTGGACAAACATACCATGATAGCGACATAATTAGACCATTAAGTTAACTATGCAATACATAGTTAACGGAATAACAAGAAAATATCAAAACTAGCTAACTTCTCATAATACTGTAAACAAGTGTGAGCTCAACTAAAATATTTTCAAATATTACATTACAAGGCACTTACGAATCATTGGCCTCCAGTCCAAGTTGATGGCAAGCTCTCCGTGGCAACAGACGTGGATGGTCGCATATTTTCTTCAATATGGTCAAATAAACGAGGGGAGAACGCTTGCTGGCAAGTAATTCCTTGATACTGTCTTGACCAAGAAAATCTCGATAAATTTCTTCTTGCACAGATGATAAATAAGTCTGAATAAACAATAAATACGTCACTGTATTCAAATCATTTCTGCAGTTGCCTTTCGTAGTCTTATAAGATCATGGGTTCAAATTACGAGTAGTGATAGGCAAACTTTAAAAATTACAATTCTTCCTAAGATGGTAGATCCTTGTGTGTAAGTGAATTCTTGTTTGTAGAATTGTATATTAGGCTGCTTGTCTGTGTTTGTTCAGAGAAAAAGAGTCCGAATCATCTCATAAATGAAGGCATATGATTCGGTGCACAAAGCTAACAACCAGAATAATTCTCAGGGCAGGGGTGGGCAATGTACTTAGACCAAGGGCCAAAAATTTTGCCAACCTAGACTGGCGGGCCATGTGAGGGTGACGTAAAAGTTAAAAATGAACAATATTTATACAGTGTTACAAAAGCAAAGTGGAAAACAATAAGCCTCGTGCCAAAACTGAATTTAAACGCAACCTTTACAAATTCCTTAATATATATTTTACGCTAAAACATCAAAATTTGGTTGTAGTTTGGTTGTGGCAGCATCAGGCGGGCCAGACTGAATAACCCAACAGGCCGGATTTGGCCCACCCCTAATACAGGGCTGGAAAAGATATTATCAAGAATCTTTCCTTTCCATTTGATAACAATACAATGGATACGGAAAAAAATAAGAATTTTACCCAAATAACAAAATCATTCTTTTTCTTGAGTTTTGGAAAACTTGGTTTTAGTTTGTTTCCAGCCTCGCTTTGACTTTCTTCGCCATTTTCATTTGGTTTTGGTACCGAAACAGAACTCTGTAATAATGTTTGTATGAAGTGGTAAAGGGTATAGATTGAATAGATGGGATTAGGAATATTATTGTGAAAACTGACTCATTTGTAGCAATGACTGCTGAAGTTGGAAGGGGATACATATATTTTTTAAAATGCAGATGATATATATTCAATATTTATATTACAAAACTTTGTAGTTTAGCACACAACATAATATGTAAAATTTATTGTTAGTAGCTTTGGGCCTTTCATTGGTAAATATAATCATTGGTAATAACTAGGGCTGGGCATTTTGAATCAAATAGTAAATTATTCGAATCGATTCGGAGCAAAATTTCGAATCACGGCCATCTTGTTTTTTCCTTCCGCCAATGTTAGAGGTGAATTCCTTAATTTTTTTTATTGAAACCATATTTTTTCAACGCAATTCTGGCATATGACTATTTCCCGTTGTAAGTGACTAAGTGATTGATGAAACGTGTTTCTTATTGCGTGTTAACGCTCAGCAATCTGTCTGAGTGATGTATTCTATGTTTTCAGCAATTCATTTGTTGACAGGATCAATTACAATAAAAAAGTCGCATACAAACATAGATTCGAGATTCGATTCGAAAAAAAATATTTGATTTTAAAATCATCAGGTTTTTAAAAATGCCAAGCCCTAGTAATAAATTATATTCCTACAACAAGACGAGAGCACGGTAATTAAAGTCAACTATATTGGCATCAAAGGTCACACATTACTAATCAGGTGCCCTGCCCCTCAACCAGGGTGATGTAAAAACATGGGTAGGTGGCGCTGAAATTGTAGATCCTCACAATCAGTGGATGCTTGAACTGAGTCTTGTTCGGAACCAAACAGCATGAATATGTGCCGTAAAAATAAAAAGAATGCACTTTTTCTGGGGGTACACCTTTGATATAAAAAATGTTAGATGTGAGTCATCATGTGAAGTTGTTCCCTAAATTAATTATTTGAGTTAGAGGGCAGCAGGGGCAAACTACAAGGAGTCCTCGACTTACATTGTTCCGTTCTTGAGACGCGGTGTAACCCCAATTTCAGTGTAAGTCCGAACAACCAGAATGGCGTACAGTATCACTGAAACTGTGTACCCTGTGACTGAAGCTTAGTGATTATTCGTTCATAATCGTAATAGTTGCGATGTAAATGACGAAAACCAATGAGTCCAAAGCACTGATTTTCTTTATCACAATGATCCAGTTTAAGTGCTTATTATCTTTTATATTTTTATGGAGTGCGTTCGTAACCTCGAAACAGCGTTATGGAGTGCGTTCGTAACCTCGAAACAGTGTACGTCGCGACCGTCGTAACCCAGGGACTCCCTGTAGTAAGTAGCGATACCTTAGTTCTTCTTAAAATATAAGGATCAACTATTTTCCTCAAACTTTCGGACATGTAATTTCCTAGATGTATCTCAGCTGAAGATGCTCCCTAGAACACAAAATTGAATAATACCAAAATGAAGAACTATGATAAAATAAGCAAAAAGTTACAATCATCTGAGATGGCACATGTGCACATATTTATAAAACAACATTGAAAATACTGCAGAAAAATCACATACCGGTACATTCCTCAGTAAATAAAACAACATAAACAAAGTATATCAGGAAATGTAATTGATGAATAAGTTAAAAAATGATTAATAAAACCTACTGCTTCGATGAATTCTGCATCTTCAAATAAAAACAATAAATTGGACAAAATTAATTGGCCTGCGAATGGCAGGTTTGCAAGACTCACCCTTTCCCTAGCTTTGGTTATAGGTGTCGCATATTCATTGCGGAAAGTTTTTTGTGTTCCAAGGAGTGTTCCTTGCATTACCCAATCGAACAATGCCCATAGTTCCCGAAGATTGTTCTGGATTGGAGTGCCTGAATTAATAATAAATCATAAACCATTTTGATCAATATCCTTATTGGATGTTTAGCCCACGTCAGAATTACTGAATATGTCATTGGTCATCATTTCAACGAGTCAAGTCAAGTTCATTTTTGTTCAATCAGTAAATTCAACAACAATCAAACACAAATTATGAAAAAATAATATTTACACAGATTTGCTGGAGAAGGGAAGTCGTGGTGAACCAAAGTTAATTATCGAGCAGCGACACCAGAGGTTCAAATATGTAATTTGAAAAAATTGATATTCTAAAGTTTGGAATCTACAGTCTTTTTACACTGTCTTTCAAGGTTGTCATATTATGCTAAAAAAGAGACGTTATGACCATTCCAACCCAGTAGATACATTGCATACATATATATGGATTTTTGTCTACAGCTTTCCTCATTGAAACTCAGATGCGAAAAAAACAATGCGCTACTATTTTAAAATTATTATTAACAAACAAGAATGCAAATATAGTAATATAGGCTTGTTCAAGTACTTCTTTGCAGTTTACAACTACCCACCTTCTAACTCGGATTCTAGTTTATCT